GTCTCTAATCTGGCACTCGGCAAAGAGGGATTTTTTAAAAAAATTTACAAAAATCTTTACCGAGTGCTAGCCGTCTTGACACTCGGTAAAAAGACTCCTTTGCCGAGTGTTATTTTTTGACACTCGGTAAATTATATATTTTTTTCACTTTTGGCCTCTAAATTTTTTCTGCAGTCCTCATACAATACCTGGTACTCCATGTTCCAATGTAGTACATTTCTCGGACTTTTTCTATACTTCTTTAATTTATTTCATTTAATTGAAATTTCTTGGATAATTCAAATTATAACCGCTAGTCATTCGAATAATGAAAAAAAATGAATGGAAAAATGATATTCATATTATTTAGTATAATGTGAGGCCGTATCCAGGAACAGACCATCAATTTTGAACATCTTTTTCACGAAACATGACCACGAACTTGCGGTCGAGTTATTTTTAAATTCTATAAAAAAGCAAACAAAGTCCGAAAATCATGAAACTTGTCAAGATGTCAAGATATCATATGTGATGGCTGTGATAAAAAATTGAGGAGGTTTCGCGCAAGTTTGTCACGTACGATGCTTACCACCTCGTCGGCCTCTTCACGAAATCATGAAACTTCTTCGGAGATTCATCGGTTTGCAAGCATCGTAGGTGACAACTTACGCGAAACCTTCTCAAATTTTTATCACAGCCTTCACATATGATATCATGAAATCTTGACAAGTTTCATTATTTTCGGACTTCGTTTGTTTTTTATTGAATTTAAAAACAACTCGACCGCAAGTTTGTGGTCATGTTTCGTGAACAAGATGTTCGAAATTGGTGGTCTATTCCTGGATATGGCCTCACATTATACTAAATAACATGAATATCATTTTTCCATTCATTTTTTTTCATTATTCGAATGACTAGCAGTTATAATTTGAATTATCCAAGAAAATTCAATTAAATGAAATAAATTAAAGAAATATAAAAAAAGTCCGAGAAATATGCCACATTGGAACATGGAGTACCAGGTATTGTATGAGGACTGCAGAAAAAGTTTGGAGGTCAAAAGTGAAAAAAATATAGTTTGCCAAGTGTCAGGAGAAGAAACTCGGTAAATCACCTCTTTGCCGAGTGTCAGGAGAAGAGACTCGGCAAAGGGTTAACGGCGGCGGCCCTTTGCCGAGTGTTAGGAGAATAACACGCGACAAAGCCAGTTTTGCCGAGTGTTATTTTTTGCCGAGTGCCAACCTATTTGCCGAGTGTCAGTTGTTTGCTGAGTGATTTCTCTCTGGTACTCGGTAAACAACCTCTTTGCCGAGTGTCCGATAAAAAGCACTCGGCAAAGTCTAGAACACTCGGCAAATAAGCCGTCTCTGGTAGTGAGCATTAGCATTAACATTATTGTAAATATCATTCCACCAGAAAAGAGCAAAACTAGTAAACTCACTAGTAGCAAGTCTAACTCTATATTCTTTAGGTACTTGATGGGAGCTAAATTTTTGATCTACAGCCATCTCCCAATCTAAATATGTTTCAGGATCAGCAGGACCAGAAAAATGAGGTATCTTAAACTTGGTTTTAGAGAAAATATCATTATTACCTTGGTTATTACCTCCCATACCGCGTCGGTTAAAGTTGAACCGATTACGGTTACGTGCATCCTCATTCTCCTTAGCATCCTCGCCTGTGAGATCATCATCATCAGAATCTTTAGGACGTGGTTCAGGATGTCGTTGTTCAACATCTTCAATCCTCTTGGTCAAGTTGTTGATTTGTTGAAGGATCTCATTAAGCTTGTCATCAAGAACGGCATGAAGCTCATTCTTGGAAACACAGTCATTGAAATCTGTAGGTGTATCCTCATTTCCTTTGCCGCTGCCTCCGGCTTTTCCTAACATGGTTAGTAGAAAGAAGAAGACAACACAAATAGTATTGTCCCTACCAACTACTTAGGTTGTGGACAAGGAAAAATAAGGCACTCAACTCTCAAGCGTCTTACCACGGTCTTACAAGTGTTCTTACCAAAGCAACAGGCGGTGCAATTGGTCGGTGACTGTGATACCGTTGTAGCTTGAGTGTAACAGTTGCAAGACGAACCTATACTTGGTTAGAAGAAAGTAGAGCTTGGACAGGCACAATATAGTAGCAAGGAATAGCAATATTCGCAACTGAATAGCAAATCTGAATAAATATCCCGAGTACTTATCTTAGTTGATGGCCTATTCACGTTCCAAGTACTAGATGTATCAAGTGGTGTGAACAGCAGAAATATGATTAGGAACAAAGCGGAAATCAGCACACGTAAACACAGCTCAAATGACGCTCTCTATGTGCTCATCTAGATATTGGTCCACTTTTGCCCCTCTCTTTTTTCTCAATTTTTGGGCTGTCGTTGTTTTTTGTGATTCTTTGACTTTTTCTTTTATTTTTTTATATTTTTCCTTCACTTAGGAGAGCACAAAAGAAGTAACCACAGAAAATATGAGCTTAAACAAGTGAAAGACGTGGCCTGTGGAAAATTCAGAAGACATGCTCAAAATTGATAAAAAACTTGTAACCACGAAAAGAGGATCTTATGACCAGTTTTTGGCCAAAATAAAATTTTCCGAACCCGACAAAACGGGGACGAGCGGATCCGAATTTTTTTCTTGATCGATTTTGATATATGGAACGTTGAAATCCGAGTTCGTAGCGTAAAGGACAACGAGGCAATAAGACAAGAAATATGAGGCGGTGTATATTTTTTTGGCTTTTTGTGGACTATAGGTAAAGCAAAAACAGTAACAATCTAAAAGGGAAAATAAAAGTATACCTAACGGGCAACAAAGTCTCTGATACCACTTAATGTAGACAAGGCCTGATCTTTCGATAGGTACGATAGCGTCGATTGGTGGAGTCTCGACGTTCATGATCTAGGCTTCGAACCAAGACTGATTCGGACCCTCGCAACCGTTACATCACTGCTCTATTGGTTATCAACCATGCGAACGCGACTGATCTCGCTGAGAAGGCTTTCCTGCAAGCGAATCGAAAACAGAAGCAAGAACGGGATGAACACAATCTAAAATTACAAATAAATATGAGATTTATGATAACGAAGAGTTCAAGTCTTTATTCGAAAGGACTAATCGCCACAGGCGAACAAGATCAAGAACAGGGGCCCTAGTTCACAGCAAGCGGCCGTGGCGGTACAATTGTAGCAAAACGATGTTTGTTTCACGAGAAATTAAGAACTAAACAAAACTCAAAACCCTAACGAGAGTGACAGCGGTATAATATAGAGTCCTGGGCGTCAGCCCCTAGACGCGCCCCTAATGGGCCTAAACACGATACACGGTCCAACGGGCCAAAAGACGATGTCGCAGCACCCTGACAGATTCTAGACGCTGACTTATTTCGATGATTTTCATTGATTTCGAAGGACTTTTGACGTGAGACCACTTGCATTGGCTTCCTTATCTAATTAGGTTTCCATACATATGTGGATCGTCGAAAACGGAGCCCGAAAGCGTCCGTGTGACCAGTTTTATGACAGACTGGTCCTGTAACCCGAGATGGGCTCCAACTTCAGTTGGACTGGGCCTCCACCATGAGAAAGATGAATTGGACGTCCATGTTAGACCTTCTCCTCTCCTTGGCTTGTATGTGATGGAGTGATGTCCTCGTCACATGGCGCTGTTGCCTGCCCACGTTCATTCCTCGCACCTCCAGTTCGGCGCGTCGCTGGGATCCGAGCTGGCGTCGCCGACCGACTCGCCTCCGCGCCGCGTCCCCGAGCAGCTGCAGCACCCGCATTACGCCGCGTACAGGCTCACGGGCTGCTCCTCGAGCCAAACATGCCCATGTCCGCGCCGAGCAAGGTGACGACGATCGAGCAGGCTGCAGCGGTGCGCGAGTAGGGTAGTGGCGCTCGAGTAGCACGACGCGCGAGCTACGCGGCGACGCGAGCAGCACAGCTTTCCGGTTGCTGGCGAGCCATGGCCGTGAGGATGGAGAGGGAGGGACTGAGTCGATGACGCGTGGGCCCCATATGTCACTGAGATGGAGGTTGCATGTCAAAACCGCTCAACGTCGGTCAAAACAGTCTTGCCCCGCCAGGTGCTAAAAGTGAACAATTTTGACAGTTGGGGTACCGGTACTAGACGATTTTATAGTTAAGGCTTAAAATTAGACCAGACACAATAGTTGAGATGCGAAAAGTGAACTTAATCCTAAATTAAACCAAATATTAGTTTGGAGGGTTATTTGGACATAGACCAAACTTGGAGGAAGTAATATGGATTTTTTCCTAAAATAAAACGTTTATAGAATATAATATTAGATTGAACTATAGAAAAATGTGATGATCAAAAAATAGTACAACGTGAATGTGATACCAAATAAGTATCATTATGTTTTTGATCAAAGCATCTTAAGTTTGATTAAATTTATAAATCATTCTAATGGGAGAATCAAAGCATCTCAAATTTGACTAAATTTATATAATAAAATAATAGCATTTATGATACTAAATAAGTATTATTACTTTCTTCATTAATTATTTTTTATAGTATATGTCTATTTGATGTAATTTTAGTTAAATATGAGATGCTTTGACTCTTAAGAAAAGTTAGAATGACTTATAGTTCGAGCGAGATGGAGTATATTAGTGATTTGCTAGAGAGCTCTAGGAACAAGAGTTATGCACATGTCCGATTCTTTGCATTGTCAAACAATGATTTGAATTATGTTTTCCTAGAGATAAAACAACGATTTGAATTTGTTTCGAAGCAACATATTTCATGGTTTGCCAAATAAAAAATTGATTTAGTTTAAATCACTTCCCAGCCATCCCAATTTCTCTTTGACCTTAGATCTGAAATGGAGTGGACTAAAAATAAAGAAATTCGCGTACGCGCCTCCTCGGCTTCTTTCCCCAAACCGCAACACGCGAGCACGGAGAACCCCACCCCACGCTCCAAAACGGCTCCTCATCTCTCATCACAGTCTGAATCCAGGATCCAATCAACAGCTCCATACAAGCGGCAATGATCCAGCTGCTGTTCGCCGTGCTGGTGGCGGAGGCGTCCCTGACGGCGGCGCTGCTCTTCAAGACGCCGCTGCGGAAGCTGGCCGTGCTAGTGGTCGACCGGCTCAAGCGCGGCCGCCACGCGCCCGTCGTCGTCAAGACGGTCGCGGGCGTCGTCCTAGCGCTGCTCGCTTCGACGCTCTACGGCATGGCTCAGATCAGCGGCAGCGGGAGCGACTCCGACTCCGACTCCGGCTCCGGCTCCGGCTCCGGCGGCGGGCCCACGCCCACCGACCAGGTGCTCTTCTCGCGTCACCTCCTGGAGGCGTGCCTCATGGGTAGGTCTTGGTAACGCGCATCCGCCCACTCGATCATGTTCAGTACGCCTTGCCTATGCTATGCGGGCTCCTCTATCCCCATTTTCTGATTGGACTAGACTCCCTGTTTATCGCGTGCTTGGGTAGGGGTTTGGTGAGATCTGAGTGTGATGAGTAGTCTGGGCAATCTAGGTTGGTGGGGGTGTACTGCTATGTTGCTTATTCAGGTGGCTGTTCAAGCGGGTGTGTTGATGTAAGCTAGTAACCCGAGCACGGAGCAGCAACTAGTTTTTAAGCTTTCAAATATTAACCGGACCAAGGTCTTTTTGGTCTAAAAAAAGAAAAGAGCATCCATTCTTTGACCCTGCTTAGGGGATTAAAACTTCGAACATTCTTGTGTATCTGTTTGTGAGTAAATGGAAATTTTGTATGGTCCAGCTAGTAATTTTATCTTATGAGAAACTATTTCGATCCAAACTATACAACTTTGCCATCCACACTCCACAGTGCAAAAAAATATAGCACACAGAGTTTGTGATGGGAAAGTTAAGTACTTTATTTAACATATATTAAGTATATTCTAGTGTACTTTTCCCTGGACACTAGAAATTTTACAAAAATATTGAGATCGAATTGAACTGTGATCATCTATCTACTTGTTGCATCAGCATTGAGTGCAGTCAGAATTGCTTGTTTTGATATATTGTGATCATCTATCTACTTGTTGCATCAGCATTGAGTGCAGTCAGAATTGCTTGTTTTGATATATTCTGTATGTATGTTGCAATGAGATTTCTAATATGCATATGACTCCAGTCGATGAGTCGAATGTGTTTATCTATCACATCCTTTTTACACATGGACCCTTTTTCTCTTGAAATATTGTGCTAAATGTTTCAGCACTGAATTTATGCTATCTGCTCTATGTTGAAGTCTGAGAAGAGCCCTATTCTTTCAGGGTACTCCTTATTTCTTGCTCTAATGATTGACCGGCTCCACCAATACATCAGAGATTTGCGTGTGTTCAAGAAGGACTTAGAGGCTGTACGTAAGCATAATAAAATGTTGGAGGAAACAAAACATGGAAATTCAGAGGAGGCAAAGAAGTACCAGGAAGAGATTGCCACTCTGAACAAGGAGATGAAGAAACTGAAGCTACAAGTCCAAGAAAAGATAGAAGAGGTCCATGTTGCTGAGGACAAGGCACTTACTATCCAAAAGCAATCTGAAGGCTTGCTGATTGAATATGACCGCCTGCTGGAGGACAATCAGCATCTTCGGGATCAGCTGGTGTCAATTGACCTTAGGCTTTCCAGCTCTTCTTGAAGGAAGAGTATATTCAGGCATAAGAATGGTGAATCTAGTGCTGCTGCAACAAATTATCTGTTGCAGTTTGGAAGAATCAATGTTTACTCCTTTCATGGGATGCTGAAGAAATTCTTTTGGCAGATCATGTTACCACCCAAAGAGTACGGCAGCTACCTGCTTCCTCACTTGTCAGTCTTAGCATCTCTAATTAACTAGCTGCTGCATTATATTGTTGGCAAAACTAGTGCAAGCATTATATGGTCTAGAACTTTGGAGTTTCTCTTATGTGTTTCTTGTGATGCCTACTTTTTATGTGTGCTGTAGTGATTACTGTTTTGAGCAGCATTTTATGATTATTGCAGATGTCATTCACATGTTGAAATCATGAACTCTGCTCTATGAGGTTCCCAGACTATTTAAAAAAAGGTGTCATTGAGTAAAAAAAGATGTACTTTCACAAATATTTTCAAAATCAGAACCTTTTTCGTTTTAGAACGAGAACTTATCAAGCTCAGCCTGAAGCAGCTGAAAGGATGGTAACCATGGTTAGCTGTCGAAACCCAAAATGTAAACATTCTTGGCACTATCTGTTGGTGAGCAGTTCTTTGGTTTGTTCTGATTTGTAAATAATACTAGCTAGTCTAGAAAAAATTGGAATAAAATTCTAAATACAGGCTGAGAGTTTGGAGCTACATAAATTGGCTATAAAATTTAAAACGTGTTGCATGTGCCAAAATTGGATGCATTCATGTTAGGTAGGCAGATACATAATTTAAAAACTATTTAACCAGGCTAATCATCAAAGTCCCTTTGTGGTACTCAATGTTGGGGGGAGGCTCCACCCATGGGCACCCCAAGGGGCTCATCCGCCGCCCCGACCACACCCTGCTGAGGGAGAAAGCATCTCGCACAGGCGAAATGGCGGACGACAAGGGAATGAACAGTCTTGGCCCGTCGGCGCACCTAGCACTTCGCTCTAGCGAAATGGTGGGTGCAGCACGGTGTGGGGCAAGAGTCGCATGGTCCTCATCTCGTCCAGGCGAAATTAGGGCGGCGGGCACCCGGTATCGCGGTGATCATGCCTTGTTTCCCTTTTTCGTCAGGGCGGAATGGCGGGTCCAGCGGTGAGGGTCCGCCCGCCGCAGCCCTTTTCGCTATGGCGAAAGGAGCAGCTCGGCTTGGGTTTGCGCGGCCACGGGCTTGGAGTGGGCTGGAGCTATTCGCTCGGGCGAATAGTCGTTAACAATTTGTTCAGTCGTCGTTGCAGGTCTCGCCGCAGGAGGGTCAGCCGCCCGCGTTTGGCCGACAGCCCTGTCCGCCTGGGGCCCGCTCGGTCGGCTGCAGAGGCGACAAGTGGCGGAGCCGGTCGTTCCTCCTCTGGCCGGCGTCATCCGAGGCAGGCGATGACTCCAAATGGCGAAGGTGCCCTTGGCGGCGAGGAATATTCCCCGGATGTGTAGCAGTTGTAAGGGCATTATTGTCCCGCAAAAAGCCTACGGGCATGTATAAATAGCCCCCAAGTGGGTAATGTAAAGGGGGGAGAGCATAAGTTGAATGAAACCACCATATCGTCCCATCCGTGGTCCACTCTTCGCCTTGTCCTGCCCCTGGAGCTCGCTCGTGCGGCAACCAGGTGTTCGAAGGCTTGGGCCTCGAACAACACTCAACAAAGAGCTTTATGCATGTATTGAGGTGAAAAATAGAACTTCATGTTCTTCAAACATTACCTATACATCTATCTATTTCCTTAGCAAACGGATCTATTAGAACACATGTTTGAACAAAATATCAGACTTGCCATGTAGTTTGTTGTCGAGTTCTTGAGAAAAGAAAATTATCCAACCAAAGTAATTTCTTTACATATGAAGATTTGACCCAACAGTTCTTGTGCAACTATGCTATTATCCATTACCCACTTTTATGTTTTAAATTTGAACTAGGTCATAGATTTTCTTCTTGGATCTTGGTGCTCAAGTTCAGTGTGTGTTCTTGTTGACAAGAGAAATAGCTATTTCCTACGTCTCATTAATTGTTGTGCACAATTTCTGGGACCTTTACTTTCTATATACAAGTGGAGTAATATTTTAGTTGCTGACAAAATGTTTTGATAGGTTGGTGAAAATGAAGTGGTTTCTAATGGTTAATCGATTTATATGGAGCTGTAACTAGTAAGCCACATAGGTGTTGTTGACCCAAAATAAGGATAATATCAAAATGAAGCTTTTTATTCACATAAAAGCTCCACTAGAACCCTTATGACCAGCAAGTAGGGATGAAACATGTTCAAAAAAAAAGTAGGGATGAAAACTGCGCCCATCCCGAAAGGGTCAAAATCTTATATGGATAGTTCGTGTCTGAATCCGAACATTTAATATCCGTAACATATTCGAATTCGAATACTCAAAATCAGATTTCTGATATGTATATTATGAGATACAGATATCAATATCCGGCCGATCCGTAGCCAATTGTGAGATCCGTCGCCATGGATGCTAGCTGATCTGGCCCGCTCCGCCCGCATGACTTGCCGATCACCAGACTACCCCTTGTCGCAAACTGTCTGCTCAGGTTGAGCACCAAGCCCGCTTGTCTTCATCGAATAACCTTGCACATGCACAACCCCTGCTGGTTGACATTTTCTCTACGCAAATCCACTGCAATATGCATGCTCATGAGCTCAAGACAGTCTTAGTGGCCTTCCTGCGCATTAATTTACGAGATCAAGATAGTTAGTGGCCTTCCACTCACTCACCATCCGGATCGGAGCCTGCTTTCCTTCGCTCTTTCTGTATTGGATGCACGACCAATCAAGAACCAAAACAAAAATAAAATAAAAGAATATCACCATACAGTGGATTCCTATTTCCAGCTGGAATATGTTGCCATGTATCCACCACCGACTTCGAATCCTTTGAGATTGCCTGGCTTCATGCACGTATGTTCGTCAAACACGCGCCATCGAGCCGTGCTGTTTCTTCATCTTCAACAGTGCACGTTTGTGTCATTAGTATCCTCACCACGACGTGAGGTGGATTGCATAGGGGTGAAAGTGGGCTAGCCCACGAGCCTATATATATACAGGCTCGTAGGCTAGCCCACTGACACCCCTATGTTTGGATATTGCTCTGATTTACCGGCCTTGTTTGACATCTCCTCACACCATGTCCTCACCTAAGGAGATCTTACTATATGGTGCCACAACTATAGCCTTCTTGGAGATAACATCTAACTAAAAAACTTAAGCCACTGCCAATGCTCACGTCGACCCACGCCCTCAATTGTGAACTCTGCCATAATTGTCTACATTACCACAACCGAACACCATTACAACACAAATTGTACCAAAATCGCAACCCCTTACCTACACAATCCAAATCCCAAACCCTAGCTTAGAAAAGTCAAAGCATTTTCACTCCTAGTTTCATAATCAACCAAAATACTCCATCCTACTATAACTAAACTTAGGATTAGGCCATTGAAACACTTATCTTACTAGGGGATTTGTTCCACTCGCATAAGCAAGGTGGCAACACCATTGTGCAAATTGACCGCGATAGCCGTGGGAAGCCATGCATGCACCACCTTTGTGACCCCTTTGCCCTTCCTCCGGCCAAGGAACGAGTTAAGGAAAGAGTGGGGATGGAATGAAAGGGAGCAAGAGATCCAAGGTTTTTATGCTAAAACAAACAAAATCTCTTTTTAAAGGTTAGAAAATCTTCATATTGTAAGAAAATCTCCGAGAGACTCACTAACTCTCAAGTACATGGCTCCATATCAAAAAATTTGGAGAACAGACAGAATATTGAATGTCCAATAGGCTCATCGAGGCACTTATCTCCTTTGTGTTTCAAAATTGCCCTTCTCCTTCTTTAGTACTAGAGAGGCAACTTTGCTCTTGAAATTGTAGATCCAGTGGTTCTTTAGTGTGTTTCTGACCTCTTCATGTGTGAGTGGTGGCTCCCTGTGAACTAGAACCCTAGTGGCCACCGGCTTCTTGACGCTCACCTTACGCTCACCCCTCACCCCTAATGTCGAGCATGAGGGTGCCTTGTGGGTATCCATCTGGCTTGCTGACACCCGTGGTCAGTTCGCACGTCCAAGGCACTCCTGTGGCGTCATTTGGCTCATCTAGTAATCTCTCTTTTTTTCCTTGTTCTTTTAATTTTGAACATGCACAATTGAACTGGGTAGATCATGAATTTGTTCGCACAGTAAAATTTATGATAATATGTTGGGTTGAAGTCTAGATAGGGAATATCTACGGGATAGTTTTTCAAACAGAAATATAGAGATTCTCGCGGAGAAAGCACCTAACTTATAAATTCCATTCCGGTGGTCATTCCGGTTTTGTTGTTGGAATGGAACGCACCAATATCGGCTCATTTCGCCGTACCATTCTGGAGTGCAGATTTTATATATAATAATATATTGTATATATCTGAATATTGTGTATATTATATTATACATATATATGTAAAAATAGTTTCAACGTGAAACAAAAACATAGCTCTCTTGGCCCATGAAACAGCACACAGAAAAAGGCAACGAAGGAATCGAGTCCCTGGGTCCTTGGTTGCTGGAATGCTCGGCATAGCGGACGAGTGGACGACTGCCACCGCGCTCGCCGCCCTCGCCGCTATGCTCGACGGCCCGCCTCCCCACCGTGAGAGAGAGCTCGTGGTCGTCCGCCTCCGCTGCGCTCGACGCTCCTCCGCCGCGCTCGACGTCTCCACCACTGTGCTCGAGGATTTCTTAGATCTTGAGTATTTGTTTCCATTTTTGCATCCGAGATGTATTTGGAAGAGGCATTGTTTTTCGATTTCATTCTTCCTACTCAAAATCCGATTGGTTTCTCTTTGATTTCTCACTTTCAGATGTGCTCACATGACCGGTACCGGGGTTAACGGAACGCACGGTTCCACCCGGAATGGCCGGAATTGCCCGGAATCCTGGTCGGTACGAGATGCTGTGTCCTCTATGCCGCTTTGGTGGCCGCCACGAGACGTTTCGGCCATTCCGGCCGGTACCGGAATGGAATTGATAAGCACCCCTATCCTGAACCCATGGTTTGGTTTGCCACCACAACCGCCGAATCAGTAGGAAATCTCGAGAAAATTTAGGGAGTGTCTAGATCCAGTGACTAAAGTTTAGGAGATGTCACATAGGATTGTCGTATGGGGTGTTCGGATACTAATAAAAAAACAAATTACAGAATTCGTTAGTAATACGCGAGGCGAATTTATTAAGTCTAATTAATCTACATGTTTACTTAGCACCATATTACCAAGTCATGAACTAATTAGACTTAAAAATTTCGTCTTATAAAATAGTTTCAATCTATACATTAAGTTTTATATTTAACACTCTATACGTATGTCAAATATCCGATGAAACCGTTATTCAAACACCCCGTTAGCCGGCTGCCTTTAAATTAGGAAATCAGGTCGAAACTCAGAAGCTACGGCCGCCGCAACGAACCAACAAAACGAAGCTCCCCACCCACCCGCCTCGGTGGTGCCGCCATCACATATCCCCTTCATTTCCCTTTCCCTCTCCCTCCGCTCCGCCTCCCCTCGCTCGGTCACACCCCACACCGAATCCGCCGCACCGGGACCCCGGACCGCGCGCGCGCCGGCGGCGATGCGGTGGGACGCGGCGGAGGCGGAGGCGGCGCTCGAGCGGATCTGGGACCTCCACGACCGCCTCAGCGACGCCATCCTCGCCGCCTCCCGCGCGCACCTCCTCCTCCCCGCTCCCCCGCCCCCTCCCGTGCCGTCCGCGCCCTTCGCCAAAGGGACCCACCGCGTCTGCGGCGGCAGCAAGAACGGCTGCGTCTTCGTCAAGGGCGGGGGCGGAGGAGGCGATGCGCTGGCCGCCGCCGCGGAGGCCGTGGCCGAGGCCAGGAGCCTGCACGCCATCCGCTCCGCGCTCGAGGACGTCGAGTACCACCTCGAGTTTTTACACGTGCGACTCCTTCTCCACTTCCACCCCTCTGCTCCCCCCTAGGGAATAGGGATAGAGCATCCCATCCCAGTCCCAGCTGTTCTAGGGTTTCGCGCGGTTGGCAGTGGGAGTTAATTCTGGTTAGGACCACCGGTTCTGTGACGAATGGGGACTGCTTTTCGGAGCTCCTGTCGCGTGTTGTTCTCGTGATTGCCTTGCCGGTCGTTGCGTTCAAGCGATTCAGGCATGAAAAATTAGCGAGTCCTCATCGCCAATAATGCCCATGTCTGTGCTTGTTTTGTGGCCAATTGATTCTCTATTCTCGAACACAATTGGATGGTCGTATCAGTGGTAATCCACAATGACCACCCTTGTGTTTTAATGGGATACAATGCTTGTATGCTATTCTGCTGGTAGAAACTGAGTTGCTGCTGAATATCTATTCTACTAGGTGGGCTGTCAATGTTTTGCCATGATTCCAAATATGTATTTCTTATTTATGTAGTGTTCAGGTCATTTGGCTCACAAGTAGTTGGCCACTTGCGAATGGTTAGGGTGCAGATATCTCGATCGCAGGAGCCATGTGGATGTTAAGGGCGTGGTACTAATCCACATGGCTTTCATTGCCCTTCTGGTGCTTGCTCTCTTATGTTTCATGTCCTCTTGATGCCAGTTGGGGCAGAATATTAGTATCTTATTTTTATAGTTGATTGTTACTTTGTGCAAAGTGCAAACATAGGGGCACCATTACTCTATGTTGTGGTGTAAGGACTTGGTTCACTTCTCTGTTACATTAAATCTGTTTTACTGTTATCTAAATGAGTTCTCAGGTGTTTAAGGGGGAAAAAAAACTACCAGAAAGCTGACCACTTCTGAGGATTACTGGATTTTATAGATATTTACATGCATATTGATTAGCGAAACTTCGGAGTGCTAGGGCTTTTAGTTAACTTATTTTTACTTGTTCCTGTTAAATCTTTTTGTGTGATCTGTTTCTCACTTGTGTTAATCTTGCTTCACAGACTGTTCAATCACAACAGCGGGCTGAACGAGATGCTGCAATTGCTAGACTGGAGCAAAGCCGTCTAGTCCTTTCTATGAGGTTAGCAGAACATCAAGGAAAGAAGTATAGAGTCATCGACGAGGCCTTGGCATTTGTTGGTGAAGTGAGTGACAAGAGTCAATTTATCTCACCTGAAGATGTTCGTGCTACCCATAGCCAATCAGAGGATAATGCAGAGGACAACAGGGGCAATGGTTCAAGGATTATGTCAAACGTGTTATCTTGCAGTTTGTCATTAGCCAAGAAATCATTTCAACTGGACAAGATTGGCAGTGCTCTCGGCAATGCTGCAGTGTTTGCAGTAAGTATGCTTGCTTTCTTGCAGCTGCATCAAATTACATTTGGAAGTAAAGCTCCAGCCATGGAATACAGAAAGAGAATCGAGTACAATTTTCATTCAGGAAGCTCACAACCAAATGGGAAAGGAAAACTTCTGGAGGTTTACCTAGCCAGAGGCTGAAGAATTATTAGATCACGCTGTTTGGCTGTACAGAAAGTTTTGACCAAAGTTCAATTTTATGGGTTTTGTTAGGGCACTGATCATTCTTTACGACGGACTGAACCCTGTTCCATGCAACTAGGGAACTGGCTGTCCGATTCTTTTGGATGGATTTGAAGGATACCACGTATTGTGTATCTCAAATTGTAAATGGCTTTATGCTTAGAGATGGATTGTTTGTAAACCGTGTTCAAGCTAACTTGTACTTCCGTTTTCATCCAGCCTGTACGTTCTTGCCAGTTTTGATCATATTCATTGTACAAAAGACAGCTTCTTGTTATGCTCTTGAGGTGTGTTCAAGGTTCGTCGCTTGTATGACAAGTTTCAGATTTGTTGGGGCTACAGTATAAGCACATGTGATGCTTTTAATTGTGAGTACTGACGTTATTTGCTTTCTTCTGCCTTGTGCTTGATGATGCCTCACTACTTTGCTTTTTTGTTTGCCGGTCTGGCCATGTTTTGTGCAGAAGCTTCTTTGCTTATATGTTCGTATGTGCCCTACTGTTTTCCTTTTCCAGATGTTCCAGTATCCAGCTTTGTTTTTTGAAAGGGTAGTATCCAGCTTTGTTACTTTGACCATTGCTCTACCTGACTCACCCATGCACCTCCAACTGGCCGGTTGCACTTTGTGCCATTGGTGTCTCCTCTGTTCACTCTCCTGTAATATGTGAGGTCGTTACATACTCAACAGTAGGTGCGTTTTCTTACTTTTCATTATCATACACATACAGAATGCTCATTACATTTTCATTCTCATACACATACGGAATACTCATTAGACATTGGAGTGGATTTTATTATGCAATGATCGTGGAAGTTTAGGCGAGTCGTTAAAAAATGCTGTTATATGTTGTCACTTATGGGCCCAATTATTGTCACTTATGACTACAGACTAATCATAGTATCAATCATTTCACATTTTTCTTGAAAATTTGCCCTCATGTCGTGTCGGAACAAAGACATTTTGTGCTTTATTTTGCCCTTTTCTTTTCTCGAATTTGGAGCTGATAAAGTGAAAGGAAATCTTACAAGGGAATAAAGGTCTTGTCTCTCACTCGTTAAGCTCAAAAGAAACAACCTCTCTTGAACAGAAGAGCAGAGTGTCTGCTGACGTGGAGAAACTAAATTTAATTAAGAGCGGGTTAGGGCAATTGAGGTATTTAAATAGACACTGGAACTTCGGTGAAAAAAATTTAAATGACCTAGTGATCAGTTTACCAGTCAAAACCCATTCTGTACCTGCACATGCTTTTCTTAATTTATTATAAACACTTCCTGCTGTCGACTTGTTGGCTTCTTGCACACTTGATCGGTGATCAGATGTTACTGTACAAGTTTACAGATTTGTTGCGGTAGTTTAGTGTTTGCACGTGGTCATACAACTACAGATGCTGGCACTGGCCAACAAAGTTAAACCTACAGATGCTTTGGTCTGCATTTTTTTTTGAGGGAAACTGGAGGGGCCAAAGCCCCTACAGCAAATTTATTGAAATATAAAAGGTAGCAGCACCGGAATACAACTTAAGAAACAAAGAAAGATTACAACAGATTTTTGATCCATAGATCAAAAGTTTGAGCTAACTTTGCCTTTGCCCTTAGTTTGGTCTGCATTTTCGTTGATGAGTCCAACTAACATGACAGTTGCAGAACAAAACTCGTCTGTATTAATACAGGACCATGCAGTCTCTAGAACAAAAAAGTAGCAACACTCCTAATAAAGGAGATAAAGACATGATGAACAATAGTACGATCATGGAAGAGACATGACGGTTTCTTGATCAGGAGTTTGTTTATATATATGGTGTTTGGTGGAGCGATCGTCGCGTCCATTTCTTGGGCCAGTAGCATTTTACTTCTCCGGTCTTGTAGCTTTGGCCCAGCGAACAAGTTGTTGTTGGGTTTCAAAGCGCTACCGTGTCCCAAGAATATCATCGATTCGATCGGCGGCGTCCATTCTCCTGGCCCACGCAAACTGCTAGTGATAGCTTTATCTTCTTCAATTCAAGTAACTGAGCTGAGCCTACCAAGGATCAAAAGGCATGTACTTCAGTTGTAGAGCTGAGCCTCCAGCTTCAGCGCTCTTCAGTTTTCCCACCTTGCGACTGTCCTATGCTAGCGCCACAACGCCGGCTGTCCTCTACTAGCTTCACCTTGGTGCAGAGTAGGATGCAATTCCAAGCTTCAGAAATAGACCAGTTGATTAGAGTGATATATTGCAGAACCATAAAAATAGATTATACTTGCAAAAGGCAGCAATCCAGATAATCGAAGTGGTCGCTTCAAATGTGAATGAAATCATAAATGGAGGATCCAAAGTAGGAATATTATTTTCAAATTACCTGCAGATTGGTTTAAAGCCGTCAAGGGAAGGGTTGAATTTGTGAAACCAATATGCAGAAGCACAATAAATGAGTAATTGCCGCAGAAAAGAGCCGTAGTTGAACAAGCGGTGGTGCCGGCTACATTGATTAGCAGCATTTGTTAACAAATTGTCAGTTGGGAATTTAGGCAGAGAGCAGAGCTGTTAGTGTGTTATTACCTTGTCAATCTTCGTTAGTATGTAGCCAGAAGCCAGGCAAGTAGAGTTATAGCAGGCCTTATTTCTCTTGATGTCTAGCATTGCATTCCTGAGCAACCTCGTCACAGCAATTAGTTTTGATTAGCCATTGCAGTGAATTTGGAAGACCTTGCTTGGGTAGCCATCTGAATTGTTTAGTAGATCCTTGAGGGAGGGACTGCAGAACCGAGTCTAGACTCGGTATCGTTTGCTCAGACTATAGATTTCAGTGCTGAAGGAAGTCAACTTTACAGGTCCGGAGGCACAATAGTAATTGCTGCAGAAACAAGAAGTAATGTAATACTCCATAGTGTGTTGATATGTTAATATGGAAATAAGCAGTGCACCTTGTCAATCTTCATAAGTAGTCCTACCTGGTAGTTTGGCATATACCGCTATATCTGGCCGTGTTCCTCTTAATTTCTGGCATTCCTCGTAAAGCTCTGGGCAGCAATCAGATATACTTAGGCGTTGCAGTGACTCAGGGAAGCCCTCCTTGGGCAGTGACCTGATTCTATACGAACCAGAGATCTGTAAAGACTCTAGAGAAGGGAGGCGATGCAAGACTTGAGGGAGTGACTGCAGAACCCTGCAACCACCAATAAACAGGTATTGGAGGGAGGTGAGGAGCTGAAGCGCCTGCTCCTGCTCTTCCGTGAAGCTCTCCGCCCGCCAATCAAAGCTGAAACATAACGTCCGGAGGGTAGCGGAGAGGCGGGTGCAGATTGGAGCAACAAGCACCCCGGAGATGCTGTCCACATCAAGGCTCACCAGTTGGAAGGAACCTGCGGGCATTGTTTTTGTCCTTGACACCTCTGCGAGTAGATCCACTGCAACAGAATAGGGCTCAGTTTCACCATCTTGTTTCCAAGTCAAAACCGTCAGATGGTCGAGGTTGGAAGTGATGAGAGGATTGAACCCACCCACTGTGATATTATTCCAGTTTCCTAGTTCAAGATAGGTAAGAGATGTCAGATTTGAGAGCAGAGCCATTGACAGAGTGCTGCTAGTTTCATTCCAAAGCCGCAGTTCCTTGACACAAGGAGGGAAAGGGTTAATGCTGCTGCAATCTGCTACTCCCGTGGACCACCCCGAGAACAGCTTGCCACAATTATGTATCCAAACTGATTCGAGCCACAAGAGGCCCTGGAATCCACCTCCATCCTCCACAGGTAGAGTTAGATTATGACACCCATGCAGCTTTACATTTCTGAGCGAGCTTGCCAATGATGGTGGAAACTGCAACAACACTTCCTCCTCATCATGATCCTCATCTGCGCTGCTGTTACATGCAAAACAGAAAGAGATGGGAAACATTTGAACAAACTTGCCAATGATTTTCTGGTGACACGAAATTCATCCAGTTCTAGAGATTGAACCGATTGGAGCACAATGCCATCATCCAGTGCTCTCAGAAATGTTTCATCGCAACTCCAAACCTCCATACTACTTAATGGATGTAGCTTTTGGAGATCCGTAAATGAGATGAATGATGCATCATTAATTGTCAATCTTTTTACTTCACCAAGATTGTGGAGGGCCAATTCACACGGCATATCTTTAATTGACAAATGACTACTGCGATAATACAAGTAGTCTGTTCGGAACCAAGATAACTTGGAAGTGTGAGGCAGAGGAGGCAGGCACAACTCCGGGCATGCTTTAGTGTAAAGATCACACAGATTAGGTAATCCTGAGAACGGTAGTGCAATGAGCTTGGGACAATTAGTGCACTCGACTGTTTCAAGCCTTGAGAATAGATGTGTGTTACCTCCTCCAATCCACTCGACAAGTTCTGGCATGTCAACAAACTCAACCTCCTTCAACTGTGTGAAACTTTTTTCTGTGATGCCACCAATGAAGTCCGGTCCAAACTGGCGTATCCCAACAATGTTTTTCAGCTTGAGTGTTCCCAGATGATGCATCAGCCCAAAAGGAGGAAGAGCAGACCAAGATACACCCTCCAGATGCAGGGTCTCCAAGTTTTTCAAGTGGGTATTGCTACACAACCAAGTGGGACCAGTGGTACCACCATGATTTACAATGCTAAGTGCTCCAAGATTGCAGTGCGGCTCAAGACCATCAAGAATACCATCTTCCACGAATGGTTGCTCGGCACTCCAAACTAAAGCCAACTCAGTTAGATTTCTTTTTGCTGTCGATTTGGCTTCATTAGCTTCTTCCCTGGTTCTCACGTTTTCAAGCCCGTATATATCGAGTCCCCCTCCAATCTTTTCCAACTGACCCAACTCTCGCAATTCAAATCCAACACTCTCTTTCTTAACATGGAATCTTCTCAACTCTTGTAATAACTTCATTTTTCCAACCTCAGGAATACTGGAATGGAATTCAACATTGGAAAGGAAATGACACAAATTCACAAGGCGGCTAATGCCTTTAGGAAAATCACAACTACTTCCCCAGTATTGAAGGTCCAAGAATTTCAAGTGATAAAACCTGGACACTGTGCTAGGCAAACACACTTCTGAGTAATAAGGTGATTTCAGTTTTAGGTACCGAAGGTGGATGAGCTTTGAGAAGTTGTGTGGCAAAGAATCTAGGGAGTACATGAATATAAACAGAACACGAAGGTCCTTTATTTCCTTAAATGTATCTTTCAAAATATTAACCAAGCTTGCCCTTCTGTATTCTCCAAAAATCATCAAACTCCGCAGATTTCCAATGTCTATCCTTCTCCTCAATTTATCCATTTCTCCACCAAAATTTTCAATATATTTATCTTGCATCAAGATGGATAGGTGGCGAATAGACGATGGGATGTTCTCTGCTCTAAAACTAGAACAACTGATGTGGGCACATTCTTTTGAAGAAACCATCTGTGCAAGCTCGTGCAGCAAATCATGTATTACATAATAATTGCCATATCCTTTCATCAGAAAACCATAGTCAAATAGTTCATCCAAATATTTTGATCCAATGTCCTCAATTTTATCATTCTGACCACCAGAGTCTGTGATGCCAATTGAAATCCAAAAACGACCAATCTCTAAGCTTTCAAACTTATAATCCTCAGGGTAGAGGGCACAATATGAGAAACATTTCTTTAGATGGAAGGGAAGGTAGTCATAGCTAATTTTCAGAGCAGGCATAATATCATCGTCATGGGTTTGGTTTAGCCACTCCTTGTTCTCAAGAATCTGCACCCAATGTTCTCGTGAAAATCTCTTCTTCAATAACCGACCAACTGTTTTGGCTGCCAGTGGGGAACACTTCAATTTATCTGATATTTGTCTTGCAACTTCAATAAGTTGTTCTTTATCATGCACAGCTGATACTTCACCAAATACACATGCTTGAAAGAAATTCCAGAAATCAGCAGGCTCCAAACCTTCCAGGTTCACTAGAGTAGTTGTCTTCACCATTTGTGCTATATATGGAAACCGAGTTGTAACAATAATCATGCTACCTGCTCCAGCTTCTCTCATTTTGAATGGAGCTAAGAGATTTGCCCACTTATCCTCACTGCATTGCCATATATCATCTAAGACAATTAAAAACCTTTTTGATCTCAATCTCTTTGCAATGGATTTCTGAAGCTGGTCTAAGTTATTTGTTTCATTGCCACCTTCATTTTCAGTTGCAGGTAGGCAGTCCAAGATTTCTTTGCTGAGCTTAAGCACATCAAAACTAGTTGACACACATACCCAGGCCCTAACAGTGAAGTGTTCTTCTGTTCTTTTGTCATTGTAAAGGTGCTGGGTGAAAGTTGTCTTTCCAATACCACCAGGGCCAACTATAGGAAGAACTGACAGGGTTTCATGCCAAGTGGCACTTGTCATGCCTTTTATGGTTTCATTAAAAATAGTGCTCCTTCCATACAACTTATCTTGTCTAATTGTTGACCCGATTGCAGGGCGTTGGATGGAGTTAGCCATGCTTCCAGGAACTAGGCTAATGCCTTGCTTTATCTTCAGCAAGTCAGAGATCAGAGAACATTTGGAGTGCATGTCCTCTAACAGCTGCTTGATTTTGTTGGACACGGCCACTCGGTCGAATGGCAGCTTGTCACATTGACCACCGGCAAAACCGTCATCAGACTTGGCCTCGCCCTTGCTTGTACTATGTGTGTCATTAGAAACAGCAGCAGCAACACCATCTTGTGAACTGCAACAGCAGAAGCACGAGAACCAGTTACCGGCGGCGTTGCGAGCAGCATGGCGAGCATGCAGAGCTTCAGCACCGTGGCCATCGCCAAGCTCCGGGGTGGCATCCCGGGTGCCGTCGAGCTCGTCTTGGATCATGAAGTAGTGGAGTTCGTCCAGAGCGTCCTCTGCCTCGTCTGCCTTCTTGCAGAGGCCATCCAGCAGGCGCTGCAGGCCAGGGTTGTCGCCGACGTCCCGCCCCTGGGCCTCGTGCAGCAGCCCGAGCGTGTGGTTCAGTTCGTCCGTGATCTTGTCGTAGTTGAGGCCGAGCTCACGACTGGCCACATACCCAGCCACCAGGTCATCGGACAGCTTGCGGAGCACCTTGCCAAGGAGCCAGTTCGCCGCACCGACAGCGACCTCCATCTCCGGGGTTGGGAGCTGGGGGCTGGGGGCTGGAGCAAGGCAAGATTTGGTTTGGAGCTGTGGGACGGGAGCAATGGTGGTGGAACTGAGGAGGGTTTCGAACGGCGGCAAGTGATGTGCCGTGCAGCTGGGGCAAGGCATGAGTTGGTTTTGAGATTCTGTTACTCTCTTCCTATAGTGGAGGTTGGTGGAGAAGAGCTTGCACTACACTGCTCTGCTCTGCTAAAACAGGGGATGAGGATGAGATTATTCTCTGTGTTCTGCTTTTCAATGGCATCAAGAACCAAAGCGACGATTCCATCCTCACCGCAAGCAACGATTCTCAAACGTTTCTCGTTGTGTAGTTTCACTGATCAAGCTCAAATATCTGAAACGAAAATTTATAGTGTCTGTTAGCCTGTTAGGTGATCTCCTCTTTGCTTGACGGTGGAACTCAGTCCGTGCAAACACAAGCTGAAACTCAGAGGCTGTAGTGCAGTGCGATACATTCAGCAATACATGCGGAGTTGGCTTCCATTTCACTTTCCGTAGGTAGTTCGGTTATTTACTTTTAGGTGATATCGAAGTTTGAAACAGTCTGCTAGGAAACGTGTCGTATGTATGGTTAAACTCTTCTTCTTCTTAATTATAATGATATGCAAATTTTTTACGTATTCGAGAAAAAAAGGTCAGCTTTAACAAGCACTGCAGTAGGTTCCATGCTTAATTTGCCACTTGAGTACCAGTCAGGTCAGCTTTAACAAGCACTGCAGTAGGTTCCATGCTTTGTTTGCCACTTGAGTAGGAACGGCATCCGCTTAAAGTCGCACCGGATAAAGTAAAGCTACTGATAAATTCCAGCGTCAAAGAGGTGGTGGTGCGGCTACGTGAAAAGAAACAAGCAAGACATTGGACGTATTTTCTTGGGAATACATTTGCAGCTTGATTTTTATTACGCTATCTATTTTGCACCTTGTTGTTTTCTTGTACTACATAAGTCACCAAGGCCACCCCCATCCAAAGGTGTGGTGTGTTTCCTAATTCTTTCGCCCTGTTCGCTTAAGTCTATCAGTTCGACTTATCAGCCATGGTACAACGTTTTTCTCTCACAACAAAACAGCAGCATTAGACAGCTTATCAACAGCAAAAACCATCAACCGGCTAAATATACATTGATTTTGCTATGTATTTAGACATAGTGTATATTTAAGTCATAACAAAAACAATTGAATCTAGAAATACCAAAACATCTTATAATTTAAAATGAATGATCTGAGTCACCTTATATATGAAAGGCCACCCCCATCCAAAGATGTGGGTGTGTTTTCCAATTCTTTGTCTCTATCTACATAATATCAGGAGCACGAGTTCCTCTCTGGCTCCTACCACACCCCTAACACACGCCACCAGATCCCACCAATTCTCAGATACACGTCTAGAAACTTATGAGTTGACGAGGATGTTTGACAATTTTTTATTTGTAAGTAGCTCTTTTACCAATCCGTTGGAGGAGACTTTTCTCTTTTTGCTAAAAGATCAAGGGAGTTGTTTTACCAAACTCCTGGAGATGCTGATGCTAAGTGGCATATGGTCTTAAATCCTGAGTTCGACTTTCCGTGAGAACGAATATTTCAAGGGTTAATGACGTTGTGCTTTCAGAAGTAAGCGACAAAGTTTGCATGCGCATGTTCATTGGGGGTGAGTGTGCGTGCGTTGTGAATGTCTATCTTGTACTATGTGTCTATGTAATTCTTAAAAAAATGTGGCACATGATCAGGGAAGAGAAGTAATTCAGTAATATTATGTGAATTAAAGGGCTATTCACTAGGGTCAGGAAGAGAAGTAAAGGAAACGAGAAACCAGTGAATCATGGAGAGATCTATTTAGTAGTATTATGTGAATTAAAGGGCTGTTCACTAGGCCCCAGGATTAAACAATCTTCTGATAATGTATACAACAGTGACAAAATGAAATATGGATTGAGTTCATAAAAAAAAACACATTCAGCCACGCGGGTTATGATAGGCTTTCAGAAATCAAAAATAGATATGTAATTATCTGACCGGAGTAAGTTATTGGAGTAAGTAGTGACACTACCACTTGTGTATTCAGCGTACACCACAGGCGTGTGCATAGAGAGAACATGCATGCGCCTAGACTTTCTTGCAAAACCAATAGGTAGCAATGGGCAGAGGTATTACCTAGACATTAGGTATTCCTCTTAAAGCGATATCTTCACAAAATAAGACAAGTAAATCTACAAAAAAAACTCATCAAAAAAAAAGAAAGAAACAAATGAACTCAGTTGGTGGCCAATGCAATATGAAACTCAAAGCGATTGAGTATTCTAAAAATCTCTACTGTTGTTGAAATAATAGATAAAAAATATGCTTGGACGCAGGATAATGATACCAATTGCAGAAAAAGGTGGACAATTTGATGGTAACGATAATGATACTGTGCGGATGTCCATCCCGTTCGGACAGACCCGCACCGGAACGACTCGACTGTGCGCGCCCACCGTCTCTTTATCCCATCCCGTGAACCCCCGCACCCACTCGGTCACTCCGCTAGCCCGCTCTCCCCCATGCTCCTCTGCGCCCACTCACTGCCGCGCCGCGCGCCGTTCTCTGAGCCGCCCCGGGGATGGATAACGCGCCAGGTCGCTGCCACCCTTCCCTTCCTCCCTCCGTGACCCCCACTGGGTACGAGGACGACGGCGGCGGCTCCGATGAGGTAGGTCGGTCCTTCTCTGGATCTGAGCCCTCCTCCTCCTCTGGATCTGAGGGACGCGGCGGTGCCTAGGGTTCCGGCAAGCTCTGGGGTCCTATTCCCTCCTCCCTCTGGCGAGTTCGAAGGTGATGGGCCAGGGGCTGTTTTGTACGCTTTTTTTTCTGTTTCTCTCGTGTTGCAATGGGTTTTTTAGGATGTTGCAACAGATGATTTTAGAATGTTGCAATGGGATTTTTGGGTCGTTGCAACAGATGTTTTTGTAATGTTGCAGTACTACTACTTGAGATGTTGCAGTACATAATTTTCGACGTTGTAGCACATATTTTTTATGTTGCGGTACATATTTTTTCGATATTGCAGTACATGTTTTTCGATGTTGCTGTACATATTTTGTCAATGTTGCATTACATATTTTTCGTTGTTACAGTATATATTTTTCGATGTTGCAGTGCTTGGTTTTCAATGTTACACTATATATTTTTGCGATGTTGCAGTATTTATACCCCGATGTTGCACTTGAAGTGTTTCATGCTCTTTTGGGATAGGGGCGTGGTGGGGGAACGGGGGACAGGGGCGCGGTGGGGAGCGGAGGACAGGGGCGGGTTCCGTTCTATTCCGTTCTATACGCGGGGGGCAAGCGGGGTTCCGTTCTATTCTGCGCGGGGAGCGGACGGGCTTTGGGAAGGGACCGATGTCCGGACGCACTCACGCGCCGGATGTCGGGCGCTAGAATCGCCGTAATGGTAAACAAAAGTGAAAAAAACAATAGGTTGGTGGCTTTACTTCAACCAGAAGATGAAATTACTCAATGTTAGAATTTACATACCCGAAGTGCTTGATTTTTGGATTAATTCTATGCAGTTTCTGTCGTTCTATATGCCGGTATGTCTCCAACAATTTCCTCATGTCTGCAACAATAATCTGCCCAAAAAATAAAGAAGCATGGCTAAGATAGAGTTTTTTATACACCGGAAAAAAGGTTGGACTTATAGAGATGTGGATATGTGAAAATCAAGCCCTCTTCTACCAGAAACTAATTTGCAAAAGTTCATTGAAGAGTATGACATCCACGTATAAACTATCAAATTTAGTTTAATCACCTTAAGGGACATGATTGAATAAATATGAAGTAAAAATAAAAGATGTAGACTAATTATGAAACACAAGAATAACCTACGTGACAGTATTTTTAACATGTGCTACGCATAAGCTAACCAACGGAATTTGAATCACATTTTATGAGCTGCAACAATTTTTTATAGGAATCCGCATAGCTCTGACCCGAAACCGCCCATCCTAGTAGCGCGGCAATGCCGACATACTGCCGTGAAAAAAAAATCACAAACCGACACTGGTCACCGGTCACCACCCACAATTCCACAAAACCCTCCGCGGCTCCGGCTCGGAATCAGATCCTATAAGGGGAGCGCTGGCGCCCGGACGTGGACACACTCCCGCAGCACGCTCCCCTTCCCAGTCCGCACGCCCTCAGCACGCCCCCGACCCCCATACGCACGCTCCCATATCGCCCCGCAGTCCGTCGTGTCCGCCCCACGCCCGCGACGAGCATGCTGCATGCCCAGCGCGCCCCATGGCCACAGCACCCCGTGTTCGCCGGCCCCAGCACCTCCGTCCGCTAGGCCCCAGCGAACCACGCGCCCCCGCTCGCCCTGGCTCGCCCCTCCCTGGCCGTACAACATAGAAAGTTGGAATAAAACACGTGCAGCAACACAGAAAAACTACTGCAACATTAAGCTGAAGCAACTGAAACACCATGAACATATTATTGCAACAACACGGAAACAACTGTTGCAACATTAGACTGAAGCAGCTGAAACACCATGAACATATTATTGCAACAACACGGAACAACTGCTGCAACATTAGGCGGAAGCAGCTGAAACACCATGAACATATTATTGCAACAATACGGAACAAACTGCTGCAACAATAGGTTAAAGGAGCTGAAACATTTGGAACATATTATTGCAACACTGGTGTCAAGCATATGAAACAACGCTCGAAAAAAACACTTGCAACAACATGGAATAACTACTGCAACATGAGATTGAAGCAACTGAAACATTTCGGAAGTATTATAGCAACATTTGCGCGAAGCATATGAAAACATCCAGATCAGAACGATTGCAACATCGTCTAGAAACAAGTGAAACATTTTGAAACAGTGCTTTCAACAAACCTTTGAAAAAATGCAACATGGGCAAAACATCCCCAGATCTACTTGTGCAACATCCTTACGATTCAACTGCAACATACCTCTGAAGTAACTGAAAGATACAATTGCAACAAATAGGAGGGAGAGAGGGCCTACACGGGGAACGCCATGGCCTCTAGATCTGAGGGCGTCTGGAGCTCCCTGTGGGGGAGGACACCGGTGTAGGGGAGGGGCGCCGCCGGGGTGGGGAGAAGGGAGCCGAGGTGGGGGAGAAGGACGCCGGGGTCGGGGAAGGAGACGTCGGTGTGGGGGAAGGAGCCGCCGTGGTGGGGGAGGACGCCGGTGTTGAGGAGGGAGCCGGGGTGGGGGAGGAGGACGCCGGCGTCGGGGAAGGAGACGTCGGTGTGGGGGAAGGAGCCGCCGTGGTGGGGGAGGAGGACACCGGAGTGGGAGAGGACGCCGCCGGCGGCGGCCAGGGAGGGAGCGAGGTGTGTGGAGGACGAGCGGAAGGCGGGAAGGAGCGCCGCTGCCGGCTCGCGGCGCTGTGGAGCGCAGTCGAGGGCGCGCGGCGCTCCTAGAACCATGGGGGAGGAGAGGGAGAGGAGAGGAGCAACGGCAGCGAACGTGTGGAGGAGCGGTACCTGGTGAATGAACTGCAGTGCGAGTGGATAAGGCCGTGAGGGACGAGTGAAGGAGGACGTGCGGCGCCGTATCCAATTCTTATCTGACGTGCGTCTGAAACCGTCGGACGTCAAAGTCGTAGTATTACCGATCCTCTAAAGTCGACCAAAACGACTTTCCTCTCCAGTCGAACATCTGAACCATCCAATACGCATCCAACCGTGAGACCAGCAAATAAAGCAGGCCTGTAAGGCTATAACCGGCCCATATGAGCCCAATGGCTAGCGAGTTCGTGGTCAACTCTACCGCAGCCGCCGATGGCCGGGTCGGCGTTCCTCTCCCTAGCCGTCCGCCAGCGCGACGCTCCGAGCTCCCTACCTCGCCGGTGCTTCCCTCCCCTCTCCTCTCTGATCCGGCGTCGTGGCACGTCAGCATGCTCCTACCTCGCCAGCGCTCCCTTCCCCGCCCCCCGCCATCGCGGTTAAGACGGCGCCGGCGCCGCAGACGCTGCCGGCTCGTGGCTGGTTATGGCGGCAGCGTTCCTCGCCTCGCCGACGCTCACATCTGTACCACCGCGACGCTCTGGCTTCGTGGCTGCAGGCCCTGTCGCCCCATGGTTGTCGGTGGACTGTAAAAGACTCGTGATGGAAGAGACTTCTTCAATTGCTATCAGTTTTGTAAATTGTTCAAGTGCTACCAGTTCTGTAAATTGTTCTAAGTGCTACCGAGTCATTGTGCTAGCAGTTCTAAGTTGTAAAGATTATCATTGTGTTGTAAATTGATCTGGAATGATATTGTGAATGAAATCCACAAAAGATGTTGCTGATTACTGCAACTTCATATGGCTGCACAAAATGATCCATACTGCAACTTGCAAGTTTCATATGGCTGGTTACACAGAAGTAGAAAACCAAAACTATCTGAACATGATGGCCAAGGAGGCTGTTGAGCCATACTTCTGATTGCAGATGGGATATAATCTGTACTACTAGAATTCACCAATAACAACATCTGTCATTGCTCCCTGAAAAATAGAAAAACAATAATTCAACATAATGGCCAAGTATGATTCAGAGAAGAAGTGTATTACTTTGAAATATTACTATCAATAGTTCAGAGAAGCTATTGATGACCGTGTAGGATTCAAAGCTTCCATAGCAGTCTTCCTTCAATCCATCAATTCAAGCACAATCCAATAAGGGAGGACAAAAAAAAAGCAATCAAATTAGAACAAGCAGTTTGCCAGTTTGCTGATGGAGACAGATGACACGAGTGTAGAGATTTTGGCACCAGTTTGCTGATGGAGAGCACAAGCAGAAATCTGAGCCCGGCGCACGACCTTCATCGATCGCCGCCGCACGACCTTCACCGCTCGCGCTAAAAACGTGAGGCCGGCGCCAAACCAGTGAGGATTCGCGCCAGAAAAATTACAGCAGCAGCAGCTATACGTGCGTCGTGATGTTGGGCAGACCAGCAAGCCAAGTGCAGCAGCCAGCAGCGCATATTTTTAGCTCCCGTCGGATGGAAGTGAACGGCTACCAGTATGTTCGGATGGCTGTTTCGTTTCGTTGCTGGTTCGTAAAGAAGTATTGTTGGTTGCTTTGTGTGAGAGAAAAATACTATTTCGACTGGAAATTTACGATCGTTTACGACAAGCCACAGCCAAACGAACAGGCTGTAGATGCACAGCGACTGCAGAGACAAGTCGCTTCGGCAGAGGATCTTCAGCCTGTTCGTTTGGCTATGGCTTGTCGTAAACAATCGTAAATTTACAGCCGGAATAGTATTTTTCTCTCACACAAACCAGCCAGCAGTACTTCTTCACGAACCAGCAATAATACGAACCAGCCAACCGAACAGGCTGAATTCCTCGGGGTCGACCCCCTAGTCCTGGGTGGTTTCTCTCCAAAATCCAGCCAAATCCGCGGTCCCTTCTTCAATCGGTGAGGAGTGGCTGGCAATGGACGTCAAGGGGGAAAAAGTCTACTCCACCCTCCACTATTGGGGGTGGTCTACATAACCCCTCAACTATGAAACGGTCTGATTTACCCCCTGAACTTTTCAAAACCATCTATTTTACCCCCCAGACGGTTTTCAGCGGCGGTTTTGCTACAGTAACGGCGGGTTTGCTACAGTGGCAGGGTTTTGTCTTTTTCCTTATTTTCGCTGAATCTTTGAAAAATCATAGTAAATCACAGAAAAATCATAAAATGGAAAATCTAATTTTGTTGGACTCCATATGAGTAGATCTACACAGTGAACATATAATATGGTACGCTTTAGTACAAAGTTTTTGCTGTAGCTTTAGATTAATTGAAAAATCCAATTTTGTCTGTAATTAATTGGAATTTATCTATAACTAAGTTATACATGGTCCAATGAGTACGAAATTTTTACTATAGTTTAAGCATATAATAATTAACCTACCATAAAAATTTCACTACAATTAGAGCATAAAAGCTGCAGCTATGAATTATTCTAATTAATTACAGACAAAATTGGATTTTCCGATTAATCTAAAGCTACAGCAAAAACTTTGTACTAAAGCGTACTATATTATATATTCATTATGTAGATCTACTCATGTGGAGTCCAACAAAATTAGATTTTTCATTTTATGATTTTTCTGTGATTTACTATGATTTTTCAAAGATTCAACGGAAATAAGGAAAAAAAAGACAAAACCCCTGCCACTGTAGCAACCCCGCCGTAGCAAAACCTCTATTACTGTAGCTAAACCGCCGCTGAAAACCGTCTAAAGGGTAAAATAGACGGTTTTAGAAAGTTCAGAGGGTAAATCAGACCGTTTCATAGTTAAGTAGACCATCATAAGGGTGGAGTAGATTTTTTCCTCAAGAGGGCGAGGACGGGGCCCACGCCGGCAGCGTCAGCGGCATCTGAGGCCGTGACGACGGCGGTCCTCGGCAACGACGACCTTCTCCGCGAGATCCTGCTCCGCCTCGGCTTCCCAACCACCCTCGTCTGCGCCGCCCTCGTCTCCAAGCGCTGGCTCCGGCACGCCTCCGACCCGGCCTTCCTGCGCCTCTTCCGCGCGCGCCATCAGCCCGCACTTCTCGGTTTCTACGTCAACGGCTACTCGCGGACGGAGGAGCCCACGCCCCCTCAGTTCGTTGCCATCACGCAGGCCCCGGAGCTCGCCACCGCCGTCAGGCGCGCCAGTTTCCCCGACGACGATGTCTGGGAATGTGTCGTCGACTGCCGAAACGGCCGCGGCATCGTCATGTCCCCCTCCGCCCTCTGGCCCTCCAGTCCATTTGCGGCGATCGACCTGCTTCATCAGACGCGGGGCGCGGCCCGCTTCCCACCACCGCTCCCGTATCCTTATCAAGAAGAAGACGGCATCTTCCCCCCGGTCCCAGAGGACGGAGGTGTCCCACCACCGCTCCCGTATCCTGAAGGTGAAGATGATGGCAACATTCTCCCAGCCCCACTAGACGGACGCGACGGACGCGACGGCATGGTCGCCGTGAAAGTGATTTACGGCTATACAAGAACAATGGTTTACGCGGAGGTGTATACCTACCAACCCTGCTACTGCGAGGAAGAGTGGACCGTCCGTACTGTGCCAGAAATACAGCTGCCGGAGCCATCGTCTGCAATTCCCAATCCTGATCCATCGAATCTCGTCATGGACACGCTGCCGCCAGTAAATGGGAAGATCTACATGGCAACTAACAATGGGTACATTCTTGTGTTAGATTTGGCCTCCACAAGCATTTGTGCCATCAAGATCCCGAACAGAGTAAGGACGACCAACTTCAAGCTCTTATGTCGAGAGGAGGATGCAAGGCTATTTGTCATCCACGCAGATGGGTTTCAGCTTAGTATCTGGCACCACAAGGCTGATGGCAATGGCGCAAACACCTGGGTGCTTGTGCATGACAGAATCATTGTGCATGAGGCGTGCAATCGTCATGACGATGTGTTTGTGATGGCTGCTGATAATAATCTTGAGTATATGTTCTTGTGGCTGGAGGCAAGTAGGCTTCTCATGCATATTCATCTGAAGAGCAGGAGTGAGAAAGTGTATGATGAATTGAACGTGTATGATGAGTCGACGCTGGATAGAAGCTACTTACATATCAAGCCCTTTGTCATGGTTTGGCCTCCAGTATTCCCAGCATTGAGGGGAGAAGACAATCTCGAGGTATGATCTCTTGTTGTTTGCCACTGCCTAAATATGACATGTGTTCTTAATTCCTTCCTTCAGTGGCTATGACTTTTGTTAAGGTGCACTTTTGTTCTGCAATGAGGCAAGGTAAATGAACAAGAATCAGAAAATTTGTGTGGGCAGTCAGAGTGGCCACACTCCTCTACTTGATGTGAAATGTTTATGATTAATCTGTCGAGTTAGAATCTCGTTACCTGAAGAGAATCCATCCTAGCTCAGAAAACAATACCTGCAGCTCTGTTTTCTTACACTATTTTCCATGGAACAGGCATAACTTGGTCCTTGGACAGTTCACAAACGACACGATGATCATGGAGCAATGCAGGCATACACCATGGTGCATTCACATAAGTCAAAGCAAATAGAGTCAGGTTGGGTGCATTGATAAGGCTTTAGCAAATCCATCAAATACTCTGCACAGCTTAGAGTTCACTGCTCAGGCTGTAATTTTTATTCATGTAGTTGGTCAATTTGTAATCAGATTATCAGAGTTCCAAGAATCTACATGTTTCTCTGAGTTGAGAATCACCTTACTATAAATGCTTTGCACTTATATAGTCAATCTAATTATTTGTACTGCAAGATGATCTTTTTTCCAATACTCTTTTTGTACTCTATGAATCTTTGAGCAGATGAACATCTGATGAGCAAGAATCTAAATTCAGCTCAATGCTGCTCAAATGAAGAATGTCATAGCATTGTTGGTTTTAATCCTTCAGACATGGATGGCATCATTTTACTTTTGGTGAAGAGAATTCTTGCTGGTTTCAATAACTTTAGCATGCATAATAAAGTAGTGGCCACGATCTGAAGAATTTAACCCTGTGGTTCAGGGACTGCAATGGAATGTTTAGTTTTAATTTTCAAACTGCTTGAGGAAGCTTGTGGTTTACATTTGGAGTCTAGATACGTGAGATGGTCACATGGTTGGGATTCGCAATTGTTCTGCTCTTTTTTGTTCCATAATTTCAGTAATCACTTTAGTATTCGACATGATTAAGCTTTTTATTATAAAAATGTTTCAGATGGTCTCCAATTGTTCTATTATATATATTTTTTCCTTCCTATCCTGAACAAGGTGGAAGAATCTCTGCCACCACACAACAGCAGTCTATTCTTATTTCTTAGCAGTGTGTGGCTCTATCAGGCTCTGAAAGAATTTAGTGGAAAGGGTATGCTGTTCTTAGCTTTATATATAGGACAATCATGTAACACATCTCCCTAAGTAACAGTTTTAGCTGCTAAAACCTGCCTTGCATTGGAGTTAAGGTCTGTGTATTATTTATAGAACTATGTTCTACTTTTTGTGGAGCATAGTACATCAGTTTATGAAATTTGGATTGTTCGTCCTAGTAGCTTTGGCGAAAGGTGATAAACATAAAATGCTAGTATTACTCGGCCTGCGGGGAAAGACCATCCCTCTTTGGAAAAACATTAAGGCCACGTTCGGTACGCAGAGAATGACTTCCTGGAACCATCCTAGCCAGAATGCTTATACAATTTGTATAGGCCAAGCTTCCAAGGAATCGTTCCGGGCAGGAACCACAATAGAATACAATTTTCACATCCCAAGGAGTCAAACAATTCCACTTTTGACTAGAATTATAGAAAAAGGTATTAACACTCATGAAACGAAATAATTATCATTAGATTAGTTATAAAATAATTTTTTTATAATAAATTTATTTGGAGATATAAATGCTAATATTATTTTATATAAACTTGGTTAAACTTGAGCTAGTTTGACCGGCACACTTCCCTTGCGTTCTTTTGTGGACGGATGGAGTATATGAACCTTTTTTTTTTTTTGCAAAATGCTAGTATTACAAGAAAGATAAGTGGACCTACCATTATTTTATTGGTTGTCTATGAGGGAGGGTTGAGGTGCTACTTAGAGTCAACCAATAGAGTGTATAATGTTACAAGAAAGATAAATAAAGATAAGAGCTTGCACTTGAGGAAACATCAACAAGAAAGTAGCTGCATTACAATTCAGTTGATACAATGAAATGCTAGACGTCGATTGTTAGTTCAGCCGTGCTATGGTGCATATGGAAATTTCGTAATAAAATCTGTTCTCAGGGACTGGTTTGGACAGGGGAGAAGGAATTGATGTTCTGGGTTGCCAAAACTTTGAAAAGATGGAGACCAATGTATAATCAAGAGCTGGACATGATGGTAGAGGAGGTGATAGTGAAGCTAGAGGCAAGAGCGAACCAGCCGCTGAGGATCAGATGGGACACGGAGGCATGTTCAGGCTCGGGATCGTTGTTTTTTTAGCCTTTGGTCCAGGATTATACCGGTGTGACGATACAAGAAAGTGAGCTGGAGAGAAATCATAGTAATGCTGCTACTATCAATCTGCCTAATTGCTGCAGTCGGCTGTTACACCAATTTATGTTTACGTTTGAATTCTGGCGGGCACGCCTAAACACTGTGATCTTATAACTTCTGAACGCTTTATGATCAATAAAGCAGGAGCAACCTTTTCTCTAAAAAAATGTCAGACATCGTGATCATTGTTACTGTCTGATTTGGAAACAAAATGGACACAATAAAAATAAGAAATAAATTAAAATGATAGTTTTAATGGTTTAGAGTTCAATGTGAAAAGGTTGTTCACCACTTAATAAACGTATGCCCTCCATCCGTCCTAGAAAGAATACAATTCTAGCATTCAAAATTTATTCAAAAATAATGCAACTCTTAATAGCTATATAGGGCTCTTAACTCTAGATAAGATTCTAGCTAGATAGGTATTGTAAGAGGAGTATCACATATATAGATGTATGTTTTTTTTATAAACGGAGCATTTTATTAACTCAAGATAATTACGTAGAGTTGATACAATCATCTTGAGATCACTTTTGACATCTGCATTAAAACACACAGCTTATAAAAAGTTATTTTCTCGACAAATACAAACACTTTAGTGATTATCAATCCATAGACTAGACCGCCACCCATGTGCTCGGGAAAAAAATTCCTTGACTACGCATGTCGCAGGTTCGTAACCGTGGCAAACATCATGGTTGTTCGTCGGAAGTCGATGTGTGGGTCTCCAATGGCTTGGGCACTCAAAACACGGAAGAGACACATCGATTTATTCTGATTTTGGCTTCTGAGCCCTACCGTCCAGCAGTATAGTGATCTCCGTGTTAGAATGCCCAATCGGTGGGTTACAAATACAAGGGTGGAAATCGAGAGAGATTGGTAAGGGATCGCTTGTGCTATCTTACAGTTTGTCCATCTTCTTCCTTCGAGTGAGCAAGACCCTCTAACTGAGTTGGGTTTCGGTCCCTTCTACGGGGAGTCGTGCCTCTCCTTATATCTTGAGGAGGACACGGTGTACAAAGGTCTGTTTGGTTTGTAAAATTTTTGGCGAAATGTCACCGTAGTATTTTCGTTGTTATTTAGCAATTAATGTCTAATCATAGTCTAATTAGACTTAAAATATTCGTCTCGTGGATTTCGTCTAAACTGTGTAATTAGTTTTATTTTTTATTTATATTTAATGCTTCATGCATGCATCCAAAAATTCGACGTGACGGAGAATCTTGAAAAATTTAACAAAATGAAGTGGAACTAAACAGCCTCCAAGTCGATTTAGCTCTAGTCTATGGCCTATGCACCGGGTGCATAGGTCCTCTGCTGCAGCGTGGATGGACGCAGACTTGTCGCGTAGGGAGGAGTCGACGGTACCGTGATTGGGTTGCTAGCCTCGCTTGCGCACGGCAGTTCTCGGCCACAGTCCGCCTCCGTCCAGTGCAGGGCGACGAGTCCGACGCCTGGTGGCTTACCCCGATGTATGGCCCGACCGCCACAGCGCTGAAGCCAGCATTCCTGTAGGAACTGCGTGCCATCCATTCTATCTTCCCTGGACGGCTCGACCGTGGCTTGTCTGCGGCGATTTCAACCGCATTCTTCATGCGCAAGACAAGAACAATGGCAGATTGCATCGAGGAATGATAAACGACCTTTGCCTCGCTGAACTGCATCTGTCAGGGAGGCTATGAATGCGACAAATAGAGAGGCTTGATCGGGCATTTGCCTTGGTGGACTGGCTCGGAGGCCCACCCATAACACCTACTCCGCACCCTTTCCTCCGACTGCTCCGACGACGCCCCGCTCCTCCTGGTGCTCAATTCAGAGCCCTAATTGAGACCTCGGTTCTGGTTCGAACTCATTTAGGGCCATGTTTAGATTGCAAAAAATTGCAACCCGATGAATAGTAGCGATTTCGTCTTATTTGGTAAATATTGTCTAATCGTGGACCAACTAAGCTTAAAAGATTCATCTCGTGATTTCCAACTAAACTGTGCAATTAGTTATTTTTTTTACCTACATTTAATGCTCCATGCAAGTGGCTAAAAATTGATGTGATGGAGAAAGAGTAAAAAAATTTAGAATTTGGAGGTGATCTAAACCAGGCCTATGTGAAGTTCGATGGGTTCCTGGATGTCGTCCGAGTCGCTCGGACATGCCCGATGCCTCACGTCGATACATGTCGGCGCGTGGACTACAAGTTGCGCGCGGTCGCTAGGGCACTCAAAAGCTAGAGTGCGACACATGTTGGTAGCTTGAGGTTATAGCTTGCCGCCGCTCATGCGGTCGTTTACGAGCTGGATGTCGCCCAGGAATCACGAAGTCTCTCTCCAGGGGAGCTAGAACTGCGACGTGATCTCAAGATAAAGTGATAAACATACTGGGACTCTCGTCCCTTGAAAGAACCGTATCTAGGCAGCGGGCAAGAACAAGGTACCTGGAAGAGGGCGACGCCAACACACACTTCTTCCATCTACAAGCCTGTCACCGACGCTACAAGAACTACCTGCCTACGATCACGCACAACGGTCGCACGTTCAGCGCTGACGAGGCCAAGGCGGATCTGGTATTCTCCTACTACAATGATATTATTCTTGGGAAGTGCTTCAGTCACCAGCACCGAATCTATCTGGATCGGTTGAATCTGCTGACACTGG